TATAGACACTTGCGATAGAGGTTTAATTTTAGAAAATATTCCAGTCTTGCGATCACATGAGGTCCTCGAGATCGTAAGGCACTGCTTTGTCTCTCGTTCAAGTTGGTCCCGAACATCCTCACATTTGGTTTAGTTCGAGTAACTTGTTATTTGTACCATGTGTCCTTCATCTTTAAATCTTTATACTTTGATCCTCATCATTACAAAATATTCCATAATTTATCCTGTTCAAGTTTTGAAAGTTTGCAATTAAGTCCTTGGACTTTCGAATGTTGGATTTAGCTCCCGAAACTTGTAAATCTTCTCCAATTGCTCTATTAATACTTCTATTTGATCACTTACCGTCCAATTTCTCAAAATCAACTCCAATTAAGTTCAAAATAGTTTTATCTTCATGCCAGTTGTATCCAAGTAGTGTTTGAAAATTAAGTAGATATTCGCTCAATTAAACCACAACATCTACTAATGATTGTTGTATAGATTTCGAGAAATTGCAGGTGTTTAAAATAAAACATTTCTTAAGAAGAAAACATCGTCAACTGAATAATCTCAAATTGCTCCCTTTAGTCTTAACCATAAGAATAATGCTATTTACAGTCGCTCACTGCAACAGTCGCCCTACGTGGAATACACATGGCAGGTGGTTATTTGATGCATTAATGAATAAAAAAACTACCATATTAATGCATCAAATAATCACCTGCTATGTGTATGCCACGTAGGGCGACTAACGCAGTAAGCAACTACGAATAGCATTACTCTAATCATAAACCTATTTCTCATCTTTAATGAACAGTAAAAAGGTTAAGATGGAGCTAAAATGGGAGGCCAATCTATTGCTTTAATGCTTGATAGTCCACGTGTGAAGGTTTAATAGGTACTACACTGGATATAGTGCTAATCAAACTGAATGAGTTACCAATTATGAAACATTATTGAAAGTTTTTTTTGACTAAATGGGCCAAAACAGACTTTGGTGAGCAAATGAAAGTTTGCTAACTTTAGTAATCGTTAGTGAAATTAACTCATAAAAAAACTTATGAGAAAGTAGAAAAGTTGATGTACGTCTAGATAAAACATGGTAGACAACGGAAGCTGGACAAAGGGATACAATAAATTCTATATGCAGTTACTCTTTGTTATCCACTTCCATCTTGAGATTTTCGTGTTGATCTACTTTAGAAAAGAAACAATTAGAGACGAAGCAATTTGATTTCTTCCCTTAATCATTGATGAGTTTTCATTTTGAGGCATCTCCATCATCGAAGGGGCTGGGAAAGGAAAGTTTATCGCAACCCTAAGAAACACGTTACCATTAGAAGTGCAAAAAGGGCTGGACCACCTTTGGGGTGGTCGGGTGTGGGTTCCATAAGAATGGCTTGCAACCTTTCTTGGAGTCGGATAAAACTGGACATTAAGAGGTTGAACATGCAGATCGTTATCTGTAACATTATGTTGGGGGTCAAAAGGGAAAGACAAGGGACTTATGGAAGATGAGACTCCATGCCTAATCATTACTTCAACCATTGATGTCCCAAATTATGAATCTTCACAGGGTTGGTAATTAGCATGTTCACAACAATTGGGACCACATTTGATGGCCAAGAAATTCTGTGCTACTCATTTTGTGGTAGAAAAGGACAAGCACCATTTAGACAACAACAAATTCAACATGTCTACCAATGTAGGATGGTGTCTACGAATTTCATAGGTTCAATCAAATGAGGTTTGAAAAATCATCAAACTGTTTGTAGCACATCTCTACCAATAAAGTTCAAATTACAATGAACATGTAATAGACAGCAGCGATCTCTTTTCTATTCCAAGATGTTTACTTTGCATCACAAAGGCCAGTGGCTGGATCACAGAATCCATCTCGGTCAAGAAGTTTCTCTGGTGGAGCACTTAACAGAGGGGAAGATGGAGAGCCATATGCATTTCGTTTACTGTTCCCACATCCCAGGCT